CCGAGGTGGGTAAAATGAGGACCCGGATTGTTGTTGGGGGCAATATGCTGACTCTGTAAACCACTTAGAGAGGGCTGAAAGCCCTATGAAGCGGTATAGAAGTCTAACTGCTATTGCTATTGCTTTTCTTAGCATCCTCCAAAACCCATTCCCCGAATATAAAATACCAACGGAATCTTGAAATAGTAATTGGCACAGAGGCATGGACGTTATGTAGTCATCCCAAAACCCACCCAGATGATTGTATAGCATAAATCAGCCTACTGCCTGCTCTACCTAATTGTCTCTCTCTGTGTGTGTGTTTGTTTGTGTGTGTCAGAGGTGGCATTCAGCAGGTTCTCTTCAGTTATGGAGAACCGGCAGCGGAAATTTTGAGTAGTTTGGAGAACCGGTAAATGCCACATCTGTTTGGCCCCACCCCTATCTATTCTCTGCCTCCCGAGTCCCATCCGATCGGGAGGGAATGGGGATTTTGTAGTAACCTTCCCCCGCCATGCCCACAAAGCCACACTCACAGAACCGGTAGTAAACATTTTTGAATCCCACCACTGGTGTGCGTGTTTGTACCTCCCACTCAGAATTGACTCCTGGTGACTGCCTGAACAAGCCCCTGCGGTTTTCTTGGCACGATTTCAGAAGTGGTTTGCCATTGCCTCCTTCCTACAGCTGACAGAAATGACTATTCTTTATACCTAAGATGGGACACTAGAACTCACATTCTCCTGGTTTCTAGCCTGGTATCTTAACCATTATACCAAACTGGCTAGCTCTATAATAATGTCCAATAAGACCTTAATATAACTTATATAAAAACAATCTGGGTCACTAATATTCTCCAACTTCCAATTTACTTGCCGTTTCACCAACATTTGTTATATTAGTTCATAATGCAGTGTTTCTCAACCTTGGCAACTTGAAGATGTCCGGACTTCAACTCCCAGAATTCCCCAGCCAGCTGGGGAATTCTGGGAGTTGACGTCCGGACATCTCCAAGTTGCCAAGGTTGAGAAACACTGTCATAATGTCATAGAAGTACAAGGATGAACAGCGATGCTAAGCAATCCAAAGGGAAAATGGGGCATAAGTACAAGACAATTAATAAAAATGAAAATCAAATATCCTTTTTATTAAAATCAACTACAGCATGAGTTGAAAATATCCACACTATGGCAAGACACAAATGCACACGAGGTAATGAAACAAAATAGCAGGCTTTAATTGCCACTGATAAAAATGATTTTTATGTGATGTCACATAATTCATGTTTCTATTTCACACTTACCTCACTTTACCTGATGGCAATTCCAGGCATGCTGTTGTAACTTCTAAAACAACATTGTTTTTTCATAGATGGTATTATTTTAAATATCCAATGATATTTTTTAAAAAAACCGAGGTGCTTTTTTATTTTTTAAAAAAATTGGGCACGTCAAGCCGGAGAAATTCATTCATTCTTTTTAATAATCTTAATACAGCATAATAGACTTTGAAAATCAAGTAAGTTTAAATTCAGGTTAGAGCGAATGTTAAATCTCCAAGGTTGGAAGTGGGGATAATATGGGGCTTCAGTGCTAATGTTAATGATTTTTGGGTCAGATATGCAGTACTAATTTAGCATAAACCATATCATACCAACTTTGAAGTTCTGAAAATAGAAAAAAATAGTAATTTATTACAGATTGATGAATGGTCATCTTTTAAGTAATTTAATTACAAGGTACAAGACCAAAACAAGCTAAATAATATTTTAGAAGGTCCAGTCCTTTGCAGTTTTACAAGGGACAAATATTTGTACTCCGTTCAAGATGATTTAATACGAAATTAACATGAGCAAGATATACAGCCTTATTAGTAACTACTGCTACTGGTTCTCCATCTGTTGAGATAACAGAGGGGAGATGGTGACCTCCTGCTAAACATCATCATCCAAGATAAATGATGGACTCATTAGAATGCCCCAGCTGCCAAAGTGCTGGTACATTTCTTCTTGCCCCATTTTATACCAACTTCCAGTTTTGTGCCAGATTCCTGGCCTAAAAAGAAGTCTACTTCTTTGGCAAATGAAAATGGCATCTAGTATTGTGCAAAACGTGCCTTAATCCCAGTTCATCCTGGATTCTGACTGTTGGCTAATTAAACTTGCAATTCTATGTGTGCCTGCAAGCCCCAAAGACTTAATTTTGAATAAACAGGCAGATGACTGGCTTGCAGGGTGCACATTTGAAATACTGCAGAATATGTCAAATTCTTGCTGTTGTAAACAAACAATCCACCCAGTTCCGATATGCATTGTAAATTAATATTGTCTGTTCCAATGCATCGTGGTTCCTATGCATCATAATGGTGTCTGGTTCCTTGTCTTTCAGATTTACATGCATTTCCATTTGAGGGCTTGATTTTCCATGTAAACACCACTGAGCTAAAACCACTGTTAAAAGAAAAACTCCCGCTTTTTGCCCCAGCTAACTGACAGAAAATATAAACCACAATATAAACCAGCACTTTCCTTCCACAACAAGAAATCAAGTTCATTTGGGAAATACGAATAGTTTTGTCTGGACTATATTTTTCAGGAAAACATAACGTATTATTTTCTAAACTAATATATATACACCTTTCTCCTACTTTCCTGTACCTTCTTCTACATACTCCGCTGTGGTTGTTAGTGCATTCAAAAACAGATACACTTACATCCCAACAGGTATTTTAGAAAGACATACAAAATGCATAACATTTAGGGAAAGTTGTGTACAAAAATAAATGTGAATTATAGAACAGTTTTTAAGAAGAAACGAGGAGTAGAAAAATCGGATGGATGGTTAATAAACTGTTATTATGGGTGTTTTTAAATAGTTTTTGAATTTACAAAGTTGATGAGGGCTTTGTAAACTTTATTGGAATTGTACATTGTAAGTGATCCATCACAGAAGACCAATTTTATTTCAAGGTTCAGGCCCATCTGATCTTATTAATCTTACCATTGCATATTCTCTAGTAAACTTCCCATCTTTGCCAAAATACAGTTCATCATCCATCCATTACAGTGCAACACCTTCTTCAGTACTAAAAATTGCTGATTTTTTTAAAAAAAGGCATAATTTTAGATCTTTTGTCAGTCTGGGTAATCATTATTACCTGCCTAGTTTGACAAAACTGCACAAGACCTTTGTTCCATGGTTCTTTTTAATACTAATTTGTTCAGTAAGTAATGATGGCTGCATTCACATAGAATACCAAAGCATAAATTGTGGTTCGTAGACCAAAACGATGGGCTCCATAGATCACATTAAGCCACAATATTATTACTTTATGCATCATGCATAAAAAACCAGCCCTAGGGCATCAGCTAGGCTATCTGAGCAGAAATAGTTTATTGAATGCAAAGTCTGCATTGCAAAGGCACATGTGATGAAGTCATGTGAATTTTCTCACTGGAACCATGTCCAGCTTTAGGGGGAGGGGGTTTGCGGGTGTGTGGAGAGGAAGGAAGTCTTTTGCTTGTGGCCAAGTCATGCTACAGGTTTCACCAAGCACATAGTTTAATTCAGGCCAAGAAAAACGCTGTTTCACATTATTGGAAATCAAGCTGCTTTATGCTGGTGTGCATTACACCCAAATGAAAAAGCGTATTGCCCTAGGAAAGATCCTTAGCTGCTTTTTAGAGTTCTATATGTTTTGTTTATTTTGAAGCTTATTGTACTAGGAGAAGGCAAAGCATACAGCAGAAGCCGTTATGTCTTATTAATGGGAAAACCACTGCATTTCAGAGTACTCATCCCCCCTCCCTCTCTGTGTATAGATATGAAATGCTTCTAGTAATTATTACTTCTGCTCCTCTAAAGGAGTTCTCATTAGTGACAAGTTAATATTTTTGGCAACTAAGCTAGATTTGATATTTTCTTCTACTAATTTTTTAAAAAAAATACCCAACATCCATGAGATGATAGCTAGGAAAGTATAATATTTCAATATTTGCTGGTTTTACAAATTCCTACTTTTTCTTTACTATGAACACTAGAGGGAACAGCAGGAAACCATTTCTGGCTACTCCAGCATCTTCAGTATCCAAGAGACAGTGAATGAGAAACTCTACAGCACATTCATTCATAGGCTGATGAACACGAAGGGCACTGAAAGGTTTAAAGGGCTCTAGTTATAACCAATCCAAAAGAAAATTGTGCAAATAGAAAAACTAAGTTCCAGTGGCAGACATGATGGAACTTGTAACTTGGTTATACAACATCTCAATGAAACACTCCCCCCACCCTCTTGAAGGAAAGAGAAGTCTCCCATTTAAAAAAAAAAAAACAGGCTGCAAATAATCATGTGGCTGTTTAGGAACAAGCAGCTTTCTGCTCTTATTTAAATTATGCCTGGAAAAAAAAAGAGAAACACAGTAAAATGATTTATTCTCGTGATCTCTATCTGTTTAATGGGTCCTGCGTTTGAAATGAAGGCTGTCAGCAACTGAATGAGAGAAGGAGATGGAGAGATTGCTCTACACTCTGGAGCAAACACCAATTATTTACTTTAAAAAAAAAACCAAAAAACAGAAGTTACTTTCTCTTGAGTGCAACGCAAACTGTTCCACTCCACTACAAACGATGGAGTTATATACCCAAGAAATTCATTTGGATCTCTGAAAGGTTAAAGTTTACCTTTAACCTGTCCGGACAGAAGTGAACAACAAAACTCAATGAACCAAATGACCAAACTGTTACATTCACCGTCGTTTTCTAGGGAAATGGCTCATTTCGTTATATTACAAATGGAATATTTTGCAGCCTGCATGTAACTCTATACTCTTCTCCTTCTGGCCAACAATGCTCATTTTCTTTTCCCTTTCAAATGGCTTTGTGATCTTACGTAGAAGTCCTTTCTCCTTTGTAGACTCTGCCAAAAGCAGTAATCTTATTTCAAGTCCTAATAGTAGCGTGAATATGCATAATGGTTAAAGTTCTCACTGTCATCATGGCTATAAGCCCTTTGCACATTATTTGTGCAATAGGTTTCCCAAGTGCCTCCAGACGCAAATGCCAAGAGGAAAGCTATTCCTGCTTCCCAGCAACAGGCAGACATGGAAACTTCCGTTATCAGACATTGTCTCTGGTCTCTGAAGGCATATTCGGAAATACGTCGCTCCCTTGTGATGCGTTGCTTAACTGGGATTTGGTTTTCATTAAGAACTGCGCCCTCCTGTACATAATTCTCTCTTGCTCTTGCTTCAGCTCAATGTATGAACGGGAAAACGTGTGGAAAATGGAAGTGACAGGAAAAGCCATGAGAAGGATGCCACTCAAGATGCTGCTCAGAGCCACCACCTGGCCTGGGATGCTTCTGGGTACCATATCGCCATAGCCCACTGTTGTCATAGTGATAACGGCCCACCAATAGCAAGCAGGGATACTGGTGAACTCCTGAGAGTCTGCCATCTCGTTTTCAATCACATACAAGAGGGGAGCAAAAAGTGCAATGGCTACACAAAGGAACAGCAGCAACAGTCCAAATTCACGTGTGCACCTACGAGCTGTGAGTCCCAAGGTCTGCAGACCTAGTGAATGCCTGGCGAGCCGCATGACGTAGAGAATCCTCAAGGCACGGAGTATACGGAGCACCAGGCCTACCTTATCCAGGTAAATGTTGCCAGAGCTTGGCTTTTTGTTGCTACTCACTGAAGCACTATCTAGTAGTAAAGTGATATAATAGGGCAGGATGGCAACTATGTCAATTAATGTCAGAGGGTGCCGCAGAAATATAAATTTGCTTGGTGCCTGGATGAATCTCAAGAGGAACTCCAAGGAAAACCATCCGACGCAAACAGATTCCACAATGAAAATGTTGTAGCACATCTGAGAACACTCGCCCTGGAGTAGGAGGGAAGGTTACACCATATGAGAATCATGTCACTTGGCAAATGTCACAGAAACAGTTCACAAAGAACAGAAAAATTATCCAACTGTCGCAAACCAAGCCATAATTAGATCAGTGGAGTGACACTTATTTCTTACATGGTCAGTGGAAAATAACAATAGCAAATTTGACTGTTGCCAAAAAATGAGGGACATATGACCACTCTCCTCCCTTCCCTCTGGTTAGCAGAATAGGGACCAGGCAACCTATAATATAGGACAGGAATTACAAGAAGTATAAAAGGGTTTGACTATTATTTCTACATAGGCAACTTGCTCTTAAAACAAAGGAGTTGCTAGAATTCTTTCTCACTTTTCTTGATTGCAGAAAATCCCACTTCAGCAACAGAGTGGTCAATGCCTGGAATGCACTACCTGACTTTGTGGTTTCTTCTCCTAACTCCCAGAACTTTAACTTTAGGCTGTCTACTGTTGACCTCACCCCATTCCTAAGGGATCTGTAGGGGGTGTGCATAAGTGCACCTAAGTGCCTACCGTCCCTATCTCCTAATGTCCCCATTTATTTGTATCCATTTCATGTATTCATAATCATGTTTATACTTATATCTATTAACTTATGCACGCTTGACAAATAAATAAATAAATAAAAATATTATATACCAGCAATGAATGTCTCTGTAGTAAGAGAAGCAGTTCATGTCATCATGTTTTCCAGAAGGTGCTTTGGAAAATAAGTTGTCTCCCCCTCCTTTCTGTGACAGCCCCTCAAATATTGGAACACTGCTATCATGACACCCCTGGTCCTTCTCTTCACTAGATTAGCCATGACCTGCAACTGTTCTTCATATGTCTCCAGGGCCCCTAATCATCTTCGTTGCTTTCCTCTGCACTCTTTCCAAGGATTCTACATTATTTTTACAGTGTGGTGACCAAAACTGGATGCAGGATTCTAGGTGTGGCCTTACTAAGGCTTTACAGAGTGGTACTAATACCTCACATGATCTTGATTATATCTTGCTGGTAATGCAACCTAGGATTGCATTGGCTTTTTTGGCTGCTGACACACACACTGCTGGCTCATATTTAACTGATTATCCACTAGGAATCCAAGATCCCTCTCACAATGACTGTGACCAAAGTGGTGGTTTGCACAAAAAGCTCACCAAAAGGGTGAGCAACACTTGTATTCCCCTCAAAGAGAATAAATTCCAGATAATTAGATAACTTCAGATAATCCCCCCACCATCACCACTTACTCGTTCCTCTTCTTCTCGTAACCCAGGCATGGTGCTGATAGACAGATTAACTGCTGTGACTGTTACAAAGAGGACAGATAAACAGGCAAACACTTTCCCAGGGATCCCTGACTGAGGCTTCTCCACCATGTCCTGTAACTTTTTCATGCATAGGCTGCCTTTTGTCTCTGTTCCTGTTGCTTCAGAAGGGTTTTCGCAGTCCAAAAACTCATCCTCTATTTCGTTCATTTCTGCAAATTCCTCCATCTTCTGGAGGTATCTCCTCTTGCAGCACCACTCTAGGCTGTCCTCCTCTATGCCCCAGTAGAGCAGCTCTTCTTGGAAGGAGAGGGCGCACACCTCTCTCAAGAGCCGGAGCTTCCCTGCCCGCAGAAAAGTCAAGATGGTCCTAAATGCTCCCGGGTTGCGATCAAAGAAGAACTCATTGCAAGTCACGTCGTAATCATCACAAATATTGAGGATGTCGTCAAAATTGTTGCAGAATTTCAGCTGTCCCAAGCGAGTCATGGGGAACTCGTCCAGGGTGGTCCAGGGGAGCAAGTATTTAAAGCCACCCACGTTAATGATGATATAGTGTTTCCTTTCTTCTGGGCGGACACTTTCGTAGAGGTCTTTGCCAGGATGAAGACGCTTGGCTCTTTGGTAGAAGACCCCCTTCAGAGTTTCTCTTTCAGCAAATAAAGGGTGGTTGAAGGAGGCATCTGAAGCACAGCTGAGGGCACTGTAGTCATAGTCTGAATTTTCTCCTGGGAGAAGAGTCATCTTGATCACTGGCTTACTTCACATCACTTTTGATCCAGTTACAAATTTCTAAAACAAAGGGGGAAAACAAAGTATCAGTTCATGTGTGTATCTCACACCCTATTGACTGTCATCTGCACCTCCATAACTGGCTGGTTTGGCTCTGAAACCAAACCAAACAAACATAAGCTTCAACGGGTAATTAGAATTGCAGGAAAAACAATTGCTACCAATCTGCCTTCCATTGAGGACCTGTATACTGCACGAGTCAAAAAGAGGGCTGTGAAAATATCTACAGATTGCTCACATCCTGGACATACATTATTTCAACATCCACCCTCAAAATGACACTGTAAAGCACTGCATACAGAACAACTAGACACAAGAACAGTTTTTCCCTGAAAGCCATCATTCTGCAAAACAAATAATTCCCACAACACTGTCAATAATTTACTAAGAATGTATTACTATTCCTCTTCTCTTCCTTCCTACTATCTATCTCTCCATACTTATGACTATAACCATGTTGCTTGTTTGTTTGTTTGTTGGATTTATTTGTATCTTTCAATTTATATTGTTTTTGTTTCCTAGTACGATTTGATAGTTTATTAGTAAGCTTGACTATCACTAAGTGTCGTATCTTTTTATTCTTGATGAATGTATTTTATTCTCCTTATGTACAGAGAGCATATGCACCAAAGACAAATTCCTTGTGTGTCCAATCACACTTGGCCAATAAAGTAGTCTATTCTATTCTATTCTATTGGGGAATGGGGTGCGAATAATTTGCATAGGATTTGCACAACAACACAAGAATAAAAAAATATTAAACAATGGAAACAGCCAACAGTTGGGAAATTTCTACATCCTCCTTCCAGTTATTATTATTGCTTACCAAATCTCACAAGGCCTTATGAGATTCCACCTATTTTTATTGTTTTATTTGGAGTTCATGGATACTTTGGGGAAATATGGAAATTTTGGCACTGCCATTGCAATCTGGTAGGTATCTGACATATGCATACTATGAAATGGAAATAATTTATAGGTTAAAAGAAGTCCTCACAGACTTTACTCCACTACTTGTTGGTGGTGGTGGGGAGTTCATGTCACTTGCAAGGCCCTTGAGCCAGCGCTGTCTCTGAAGACATGTTTTGATCATGTGGCCAGCAGGATATCGTGGAGTGCTGCTAGCTTCCCATTGAAATGATACCTATTTATCTACTCACATTTGCATGCTTTTGAAACTGCTAGGTTGGCAGGAGCTGGGGTGACGATGGGAGCTCACCCCTTCATGTGGCGTTTGGGTCTCAAACCTGGGCTGTCAGCTTTTTAGCTGACAAGCCCAATGTCTTAAGCACTGAGCCAGCTTGCCGCTCCAATATAGGAGTCTGAAGATAAAATTATATAAAATATTTGATATTTATGGATCTAGGGGAAAAAAAGAATGCTGGAAAAGTAGCAATTATATGCTGGAATCAAATCTACATTCTTTGTGGAACATCTATTATTATAAGATGTAATCTGAGGCTGTATCAGGCAGATGCCAGGCTAGGGGAATAGCTAATAGCACCTAGAAGAGATATGTCACTAATAAATCTTGTTTCTAGATTTAGAGCCCATAATTGATGTTATAATGAATGAAGTCACTAATACAGGCTCATTAATAATATAAGATTATATTACTCATTAATTCTTGCTAGGTTTACTGTCTGGGGGAGAAGTCTCTTTGCAGAACTCTTTCCCTCAATCACACAATTTCTTATGGAGAAATTTACTGTTTAGTACTGTAAATTAAGGTGTGGTGCTACTTTCCACTCTACAATTTCCTATGTGTGGAAACTAATTCTATTGGGGGGTGGGGGGTGGAATCTAGGACAAAGTGTTATTGGTCCTAAAACAATAAATTGATAATGGTGGTGCACGGTTATTCAAATTCTGTAATCAGCATACACCCTCCTTTTTAGATAAAACTACATAAAGTAAGTTGACTTTGCAAATCTTATTATGATACATCATTTGTTCTGTCTGTCATGAGGAGGGAGAAGAATACTGAATGACCCTTAAAAATCTCATTTAATGGTTCTTCTGACATTTTACTAAGTGTTGCTTCCATAATTTAAAATACATCTCTGTAAAAATTCTAATTTCTGAGGTAAACAAAGAGTATTAGAAAGATAAATTGTGTGATTATTAACATTTCTTGTAGCTCTTCTGTACAAATGCAGACTTAGACTGTAAAATGAGAAATGTAAAACATGGGGCATATTATATGAAAGATGCTTTTTAATTTTTCAGACTAGCCTTGGCCCTGTCATTTCTTCAGCCTGGTGGCTAGGTGAAACAGCAATTTTTCCTGGTAATCCATCTTGCTGGCATTTTTTCCTGAAAGAAACATATGATTCTTATCTCCACTAGCTTCTAAATGAGCGTGAGAAGTATTTCCTTCTTGATCTGTACTTTCATGAGATCTGAGGTACTTTTCTTGGATCCAAAGTACTTTTTTCCCTGTTTTCTATTGGCTGCTCTCCATGCAACAAAATTATGTTCTTTAAAGTATATTTATAAGGCATAAATCACCTATAACAGATAACAGGACCAAGCTGACCAAAACTAGATGCAGTATTCTAAGCGTGGCTGTACTAAGGCTTTATAAAGCGGTATTAATACTTCACGTTAACGCAGCCTATAACATATTTATAATCATATTATAAATATTATAGATCATACTTCTAACAACAAAGCTAACCTTATTTTGGATTTTATTTATTTTATCAACCCCTATTTTTTTTTTTAATAAGGCCAACCATAAACCTTAATTTTGCTTTCTGAGTGCTTATACAATGTTACATTTCCATGCCCATCTTCTCAACACATGGGAGCTCAGTTCAATTTCAATTCTGGCTTGATTTAAGACTCTTGATAATTAAGTGAATGGATGTTCTTACAGGCCATATGTTTCCATACGTTTCGTGCTCTAAAAATAGCAATTGGGTGGCAAGGCTACCAATGATGCATTCTCTATGGTTTGTCTATAGCAGCTCATTGGGCAATTCTGTTTCTGATATCCTCTTAATTTTGTATACTGCCAGCGAGTCCTCAATTCAATGTAATCAATTCTGCCAGTGAGGAGTCAATGCAGAGTTTGCCTTGGAGTTTCAAGAAACACGATAAAGAATTGATGCTTCTGAACCTTGATGTTAGAGATGGCTTCTGATAAAGCAAACGATGGATAATGAAACAAATCAATCCAGCGTTTTCACTTCAAGCAGAACCATAATCAGAACAGAGCTCAAAGGGACCTTGGAGGTCTTCTAGTCCAGCCCCCTGCTCAAGCAGGAGATCCTATACCATTTCAGACAAGCAACTGCCCAGTCTCTCTTTAAAAACCTCCAATGATGGAGCACCCACAACTTCTGAAGGCAAGCTGTTCCACTTTTAAGAAGTTCCTCCTCAATTTCAGGTTGCTTTTCTCCTTTATTAGTTTCTGTTGAATACTAGCGGGAATGCAAGCGCGGGAATAAAGGACTTTCCTTCTGATTGGTTCCCGGGCGGAGCCGGTTCAATCCTCGCCCCGATTGGTCGAGCTACTCGACGCCCCATTGGCTCCTCGTTCAAACCCGGAGGTATAAATGTTTGGCGCGAACCACGCCACGTTGAATCGTAGTCACTCTGTTCTCAATAAAGGTTGCTGTTGCATACCCGCTTGTCGCGTCCCTTCCCTTCGCTCCAAGATGCAAAAGTTTCCATCCATTTTCTTGCACACATAACCAAAGTCCAATTATCCTATTTTGAACCCCTTAAAATTTGAAGGTGTTGCACTGGGTTTTTAAAAAAATCATTTCTGCCAACTTTCTCTTTAAAGATTGACAGGGATATATTTTAAAATGATATTGTAATAAAACCCTTGAAAGTTTTCAAAACAAACTTGGCAGTTTCAAAGTCTTTGGTTGGGTCTACCATTTTTGCTACTGTTATCCTCATCTGCAAGAAACGAAGCAGCTTCAGACATGTTGAAGTTTCCCCATCATAGCCTATGGATAGATCTTTTTTTAAAAAATTGAATCTCGAAGGCAGGTAAACTAAATCAGGGGGATACTGAATCCCAAATCCCAAACCTGAATAGAGCCATGCTCTTGTAGCATAAGCTCCCAACAGGAATCAGCTCACAATTAATTCATCCAGGCCTATCCTGCTCAATTTGAGGATATATTTACTATGAAGGTAAAAGACACTGAAAGACAGCATATAGATTTCTTAAATAAGTACATTAAATAGTAATGTACTAAAAAACAGCAGAGGTTTTTTTTAAGACCTCAAGCCACATATGAACTTTTTGCTGAAAATGACATGGATTTGGGATTTAAAAGGATTTTGGAGGGAGGCACAGGGATGCTAAGACACTGAGCTTGTTGATCAGAAAGTTTAGCAGTTTGACGATTTGAATCCCTAGTGCTGTGTAACGGAGTGAGATCCCATTACTTGTCCAAGCTTCTGCCAACCCAGCAATTCGAAAGCATGTAAAAATGCAAGTAGAAATATAGGGAGCACTTTGGTGGGAAGATAACAGCGTTCTGTGCACCTTTGGTGTTTAGACATGCCGGCCACATGACCACGGAGACATCTTCGGACATTGCTAGCTCTTCAGCTTTGAAACGGAGATGAGCACTGCCTCCTAGAGTTGGGAACGACTAGCACATTTGTGCGAGGGGAACCTTTATCTTAGGAGGAAGACAAAAAAAGACGGCAATAACTCAATAAAAAAAAGGCAGAATTCAAAATACTATAGGCTTTTTTTCTTTTCATTTTCTTTTTTTCTTATATCTTTTTCTTTTTATACTTTTATTGTACTGTAAAATTCTAGTAAAACATTAAAAAAGGAAAAGTATTATTCTCAGCCTTTCCATGTTTGTCAACATCATTTGGAAATGGTGCAGAATAACAAAGCAATTGATCAAACAGGATTCTTCGTGTTATATTATGTATGAATATACATTCCCCATTTATTTGTTAAATTTATTTGTTGCCTAACTTACTGTGGAGCTACTTTAGGCAGCTTACAAATCCCT